CGGTCATAATTGCATTCTGACCGATCATAATTGAAACCATATAATAGCGGTTCAACGGTTAACCGCTATCTAAGTGAGCTTTTAAGAGCGGTTCTGTGTAACCGCTATCTAAACTGTATCTCGCTTGAGCGACAACTTTCTCGCTCGAGCAAACGCCCCTGCACAAAATTGGTACTCTCGGGTTGTATTTCGCTTGAGCGAGTATAGTCTCGTTCGAGCGATAATTGATTCTGATCGATTATATTTTTGAAATGATCGATCATATTTGATAATTTTTTCAAATAATTAATTATAATCGATTAGTTTTCTAAATTATTGATTAGAATTGATTAGTTTTTCAAATAATAGATTAGAATTGATTAATTTCTGAAATATATACTAAAAAATTATAATTAAAACTATAAATTAGTTAAGAATATTGACTATTGTAAAGATAAAGTAGAACATGGGAGGAGATGAGGATGATATAATATAATGATAGAACTTACAAAAATGTAGAATTGAGAAGTTTAAAAAAAAAATTAAGAAAATAGAGATTTAATTATACTTTTAATAAATTTAAGATAATACTAGTTTTTAAACCTTTTTCTAATATTTGTTTTTAAAAATATAATATCATTTTTAATATTTTATAGATTTTATATTTATATATTTATAAAAGTAATTGGATTAAATTTATTATCCTCTCATATATTATTATACATTTAGCGTAATTTTAGTTTATTTAAAAATTAGAATACAAATATACTATACCAATATACCATTATATTATTTTCATTGTATATAAATTACAAAATAAATAATTTGTATACTATACTATACTAACATATTATTTGTATACTATACTAATAGTATAATATACTATATTATAATATTATTTGTATACAAAACTAATATCTTTATATATAAATATATAAATATGGAAAGATATAAATATATGTAAAAATATAAACATATAAATATATATAAATATGTAAAGATATAAACATATATATTTAATATTTTGTAAATGTAAATATAATTTATATATATTTTTAAATCTTTTCTAATATTTATTTTTAAAAATATAATATTATTTTTAAAATTTAATATTTTTTTTCAAATATATAAATATATAAAGATATAAATGTATAAGGATATAAATAAATATATAAATATATCAAAATATAAAAATATAAATATATAAATATATTAATATAAATATATAAATATATAAATATATAAATATATAAATATATAAATATATAAATATATATAATATATATATATATATATATATATATATATATATATATATATATATATATATATATACAAATATATCAATATTATCCCCTCATATATTAATATACATTATTAGCATAATTTTAATTTAATTAAAAATTAGAATACAAATATACGATACTATACTAATATACCATTATTTGTAGATTTTATATATTAAAATATATAAATATATTTTTATTTATAGGTTTTATATTTATATATTTATACGGATATACATTTATTTGTATATAAATATAATTTATTTGTAAGTTATTATTAAAAGATCCTAGTAGCTCGGTGGTTGGAGTTTCGAGCCTCCAACTCTATGGAGCTGGGTTCGAATCCTGACAATGACAATAAACCACCTAATAATAAGTTAAACTTCTAAAAAATATAATAAAGATAGGGGAAATAAATATAAATAAAAACTTAAATAAGCAAAATATAATATAATTAAGAGATAGGGAAAATAAATAATAGATATAATAAAAGTGTAAATAAATAAAAAGAATTAAATTTGTTATTGATTAACTTTTTCATTGATTTAGTGACCGATTCGAGTGACCGATTTGGTTATATATAATCGGTCACTGATTCGGTCACTAAAATCAGTGACCAAGGAAATAGTGACCGATTCCAGTTGGTCACTATTTTAATTAGTAACCGATTTTGCAGATTTAGTGACCGAATTTTCGGTCACTATTTGATGTTTTTCTTGAAGTGTCCCTTTTATAACCCTTTTATATTATATTTTTATTATTTATATTTTTTAGGAATTTGAATTATTATCAGATTAAGAGAATTGTCACTGGCAAGATTCGAACCCAGTACCTTAGAGTCGGAGGTGATACTCCAACCACTAAGCTACCAGGATTTTTCGATAATAACTTATACATAAATTATATTTATATACAAATAAAAATGTATATCCATGTAAATATATAAATATAAAATATATAAATACAAATACAAATATATTTATATATTTATATGTTGGATGTGAGGACGCGCTCGAGGATGAAAGTGTGTGTCGAGTGAATTTTTAAAATTTGATGTCAAATTTGTGAGCGGGTCTCTTTATATGAATTATAACTTAATGACAAAATATAATCTTTATAATTTATTTATATAATGATATAAAATAATTTTTTTTCTTTATTTTATATCATTATATAAATTAATTATAAAGATTATATTCTATATTATTATAAATAAATTATAAAGATTATATTCTATCATTAAATTACAAATTCATATAAAGAAACTTGCTCACAAATTTGACATCAAATTTTGAAAACCCACTTGACACACACTTTTACTCTCGAGCGCTCTCACATCCAACATATAAATATATAAATATATTTGTATTTGTATTTATATATTTTATATTTATATATTTACATGGATATACATTTTTATTTGTATATAAATATAATTTATGTATAAGTTATTATCGGAAAATCTTGGTAGCTTAGTGGTTGGAGTATCGACCTCCGATTTCAAGGTATTGGGTTTGAATCCCGCCAAGTAACAATTCTCTTAATTTTATAAAAAGACTTTCTACATCGGTTCATCTGGGAACCGATGTAGAAAGTGTTTTTTACATCGGTTCATCTGGGAACCGATGTTGAAAGTCTTGAATTCACTTTCTACATCGGTTCTTAAAGAACCGATGTGGAAAGTCCGATGTTAAAAGTGATTTACGTACTAGTGTCAAAATCAACAAGTTTCATGTCCATGTAAGTTCAACATATCATTGTATGTTCAACATATATATATAATAGAAATGTTTTTGTTTCTAATACTATCCCATAGTTATTATTTTTTTAGGATGAATAATTGGGTCTTTCTTTTTCTTATCCAAAGTATCATGATGAATAACAAAATTACTTTACGTAGTTTGCAACTTATATAATTATTGGATTAATATGTTAATATCTTTAAACCAAATTTAATAAAATAATATTTTTATAATATAATAAATATATAGTAAATTTATTATTAATAATAATTTTTTACTAAATAATAATAATAAAAATTATTATAAATTATAGTTACAAATATAAAAGAAACCCTTCTTGCTTAACTGTAAAGAAGGAATATCCCAATGAATTTCCCAACAACTAGTCAGCTACTCATTATTCATTTTATAGTACTTGAATGTTAATTTAATAGTAACATCTTTCTTCCATTTTTGTTTTTTATTCATAATAAAATTGTAAAGAATCACAAATATTATTAGAAGTGTAAAAATGCACCTTCTTATTCTATCTAATCTAATTTATACAAGCTCAACAAAAATTCTTATGTTAAATGTATGCTGAATCAATATTAGTATGATCTTCTTTAAAAAGTTAAAAGAAATTAAATATAATTTTAAATAAAAATTAAAAATAAAGTATGCATTTTAACCGTCAAAATCGAAGTCATAATAATAAATTGAATTTAATTATATATAATAATAATAATAATAATTTATATACTAATTTTTTATTTTTAAATATAAATATTATTTTATATATGGTTCAACCTAAGTTTACTTAAATCGGAAACTAGTAGAAAGAAAATAACCTATGAAGTTTCCTCTATGAATCTTTTAACCCAATCCAATTTAATATAAAAAGTTAAATTTTCACGCTTCTAACCTTATTATTATTGGATGATCAATATACTCCTTAAAAATAAAAATTCTTTATCAAATGAAAGAATAATATCATTTTTTTCAATAAAATACCAAAATGGAAAATTAACTCATTCTATATTAAAAAAATTCGCAGAAAATCTGTTGATAATACATATTTATATTTCTCAATTATATCTATTGGTTAAATATATGAAACCATTTGATAAAAAATCATTAATATACTATTTTTATAAATCAAATTGATTCTTAAATAATCAATATCACTTTTACCTTTTGTGGTAAGAAAAGATACCATGACCCGTCAATAATTATGATCTTATTAAAGTCATTCCCAACAAAATTATATTTGTCGTTGAAAGTCCGAATATAACTTTGTGTCACCAGTTATTCACACAATTACTGAACAGTTTTTGTTAGACAACTACAAACATCAACGTATCAGAAACAATTTTTACGTGTGAAAAAAAAGTTAGATAAGGATGATATTTATGTTAACTAAAACTAAAAGCTAGATAAACTGATAATTTATTAACTAGAGATTAAACTGAAGAAACCTAATTAATATTGAAAAACGATTCTTATTAAATCACAATAAAAGGTTCTTGTAATTTGAGTTCATATATAGATTGTTTCCCAATCAATATATATATATTTTTTTATATATATAATCTCTTCACAATCCTTTTACTATAATAATAGTACTATTCATGTTAGATAAAAAGAATTTAACAATGAGTTTTTTTCATATGTAATCAATCACTGACAACTTTCTTATAATAATAACATTATTATTATTGTTATTATTATTATTTATAAGTAATTATATAAAAAAACAGGTTGTTAGATTATCTTTAACCAATTTTAAATCTATGTTCAATTGAAATCTAGTTTGATGGGTAGGTAAAGCTCATCTGAAATTCCTTGGTCTCTGTTCCTGCACACTATGCATCAAAAGCTTCTATAAAATACTCCAACACATATCACGCAACCATTCCATTTCCAAGTCAACGTATCCACTTACATATTAATTCATCAGAGAGAGAACTTTTGTTTTATTTTACTTTGTGTCAGAAAAAGAGAAAACTTGAAAATGATGGGGTCAGTATCCGGAACCGTTTGCGTAACAGGAGCTTCTGGTTTCATCGGGTCATGGCTTGTTATGAGACTCATGGAGCGTGGCTACACCGTTCGAGCCACCGTGCGTGACCCAGGTCCCATTCTTACACCAAGCTAACTCATTTTCATCTCATAACAATACTATGATAATTTATCATGAAAGTGTGTGTTAATAATAATAATAATAATTATTATTATATGCATGTGCAGGGAACACGAAGAAGGTGAAGCATTTGTTGGAGCTGCCAGGTGCAAAGACGAAACTGTCTCTGTGGAAGGCTGAGCTCGGTGAAGAGGGAAGCTTTGATGAAGCCATCAAAGGGTGCAGTGGGGTTTTTCATGTGGCAACCCCTATGGACTTTGAGTCCAAGGACCCTGAGGTACACTCTCCCATTTCATACTTTCATTTTCCACATCCATCGGTTACTCAGCATTCAGTTCACCGTAACAAATATTCTGTAAAAATTATATTAAGAATCGGATTCATATGTTACAAGGATATCAACTTGAATCTTATCCTTATGTTAGGATTTTGTTTGTTTCTCATAATTTTCTACCAAGAAATACAAAATTTAACGCTCTTGACAGATGATGATACTTGATTTTAGTTCAGTTTACTTCCTGATTTTCTTTTGTAAAAAAAAAAATCGATTTATTTTCTTCAATATTTTTAAAATAAGACACAGATACATGAGTTGAATTTTTAAAGATTTAAACAATTTCCAATCAAATTTAATAAAATAATTTTTTATAATACATATAATAAATTTATTAGCAATAATATTTTAAAAAAATAATAAATATTATTATTATTATCGTATATTATAATAAAAATTATTAATATAAAATATATTAATATTATTTTTTAGAAAAGAAAAATAAATAAATATTATTATCATCATCACCATAAACTATAATAAAAATTATAAATATAAAATATATTAAAGAATATAAGATAAATAATTATTAAAATAAAAGAAAAATACAATAAAATAATTATTATTTAAAATTGACATAAATGAAAAAAATAAAAATAAAAATATATTATATTTTTTATAAAAATTGTATTTTAAAAATTTTGATCTTTAGTTTTTTTTTCCCAAAAATTATTTGAAAAAATATCCAACTAATTCTTTTTTTAATTTCATTAAGATCCGATTATTTAAAAATAATAAAAATGTTTATAGATAGATTCTCAAGTAAACTAGTTGAACCAACCTATTGAGTTCAGTTTTCAATACAATTTATAAATAATAAATAATATTTACTTATTTTAATGTTCATCTTTATAAATAATAAATAATAATTCAAATTTTTTGTTTGATTTATTTCTAATTTTTAATATTTATGAATTTTTTATTTTGTTTTCATTCTTTCAATATAAAAAAATATCTTATTCTAATTTATTTAGATTAAAATTTAATGTATTTGTTAAAAGATTAATTAATAAAAAAAGAATAATCAAACCACTTTTTTAAAATTTTTAAAATCATTTTTGAAAATAATTTTATCAATTGTTTTTTTTTTCACTTTCTCATTCCTAAAATAATTTTTATATTATAATTATAAAAAATATTTATTTTATAATTTACTGAAAGAAATTTTTAAAATAATTTATCAAAACTGTTTTTAAAAACTAAAAACCTTAACTAAATCAACCAAACTTTTATTTAATGTGTATAATAATTATTAATAAATGCGTATAAAAAGTTAGTTTTTAAAATAAAAAATCAACATAAAATGTATTTTTCAGTTATCAGCTAGCAATATTTTCCATTATAACATGTCACCTCAGTCGCTAAAATCATAAATAGCAATTATTGCAATTAGTCACAACAAGGACATACCCAATCACTAAAGGAAGATGCTTCATGAACACTCCATCAACTCTTTTACCCCTAGAAAGAGAGAAAAATAAGGGAATAAAAGTAGTAGGTTTATAGGAAATATGATGTGATAAATTGAGAGATAAAAAAAAAGAGAGTAAAAGATATGTAGGAGAACGTGAATCATCGCCCAAAACAAAAATGACATGCATTTGATGAATTTCTCTTTTTCTTGTCCATCACCTCCCTTTCACGTTGACGAGTCGTTGTTGATTTGTTGCCAAAAGTAATGTACGACTAATGTTTGTTTTGTGATAAATATGGTTGCAAACCAAATATTCTACCCATGTGATGCCACATATAATAATATATGTAACTCCGAACGTACGTCTCTGAGATTTGCGCATGACAATCACGCAAAATATGAACTATAATCGATGAAAATGAAGTATGAAAAACGTGAAATTTGCATGCAACATTATTATTGGTGAAGATTGAATCTGACGAGAAATTTGATGGGAATTGGTGCAGAATGAAGTGATAAAGCCTACTATAAACGGAATTCTGGACATCATGAAAGCATGCTTGAAGGCAAAAACAGTGCGAAGGCTTGTATTTACATCGTCAGCAGGAACCCTTAACATTAATGAGAACCAAAAGCCCGTTATTGACGAAAGCTGCTGGAGTGACGTTGAGTTTTGTCGGAGCGTTAAGATGACTGGTTGGGTTAGTAATTTATCTCCTCACTTGATATGAACAACCTTATCAAAAGACTAGTATATAGCATGTTAATAAATGTTAGACTCTTAAATGAATGTTGATATCTATAATTCTTTTAAGCATCCAAAGATATCAGATCATTCATAAAAGGAAAAAAAAAATTGTTACTTGTTTGCTCAAAATGGAAATTTAACCAGCTCAAACACTTTGTACCATTCAAATTTTCATATTGGAACACAATACTATTTCTATGAATTCCTAAGGGCCAAGTTACATCAAATTAAACAAACTTCTAGACCATGCTATATATATATGTTTCTTCATGATTTCTCAGTGATTTTTATGTAGATGTATTTTGTTTCTAAAACACTGGCTGAGAAAGAAGCATGGAAATTTGCCAAAGATCATGGCATGGACTTCATCACTATCATTCCACCACTTGTTGTTGGTCCCTTTCTGATGCCAACAATGCCACCTAGCCTAATCACTGCTCTTTCCCCCATCACAGGTACATTATATAACTAGAGATAGAAAAATTGCACTTACTTCTCTTATGTTAAATAACATGCAGAGGTGTGAGTGTCATTTAAGGTAATGTCAGTTAAAACAAGTATAATTTCGCTGAAACATGTATTATGATTATTGTGAGAATTAAATAAAGAGATTTTTATATAAGGTAATAAAAAATTGGCAGGAAATGAGGGCCATTATTCGATCATAAAGCAAGGTCAATTCGTGCACTTAGATGATCTCTGTCTGGCTCACATATTTTTGTTTGAACAACCAAAAGTAGAAGGGAGGTACATATGCAGTGCATGTGACACTACTATTCATCACATTGCCAAACTGATCAACGAAAAATACCCTGAGTACAATGTCCCCACCAAGTAAGTTCCCAATTAACTACTTTAAATATTACATTCACCACTTCAACCAGTTGAACTTGAAATTCATCAAGTTATTTGGTTCAGATCCTACTTCTTTTGCTGCATGAACAAAATCACAGTAACAAGAATAAGGTTGGGCTAATTGTATTTGTATACATTGGATTTTTAGGTTCAAGAACATACCAGATGAACTGGAGCTTGTGAGATTTTCTTCGAAGAAGATCACAGACTTGGGATTCCAATTTAAGTACGGCTTAGAGGAAATGTACTGTGGAGCAATTGACTCGTGCAGAGATAAAGGGCTTCTTCCTAAACCTGCACAAGGTAGTGTCATTCAGAAAGCAGAAACTTCACTACGTAGTGTCATTCAGAAAGCAGAAACTCCAAGTGGCATCATTCAGAACTAAACACCCCCTTTCATGTATTTCTGCATGCGGTTCTTGATTATTCTCAATGTCAGTTTGTTTTATTAAGTTAGATATGTAAGTGGTATGTAATAATTCAAGTCCAGACATGCATTTTCTCTAAACTCATCTACGGTTTTGAGTGCTGTATGTTAATTTATGCAAGTTCAATATTTCAGGTGAATTATTCTTCTCGTTTATTAATTTCTACGTGTATAGATCTATAATAATGTATATTTATACATATAAAGTCTAAACTTACCTACTTCTGGTTGAGTAGTACTAAGCGTAGACAAATTCATAGATGATGTCAAAGATGCTACATCACTTAAGATACTTGTTGAAAGATGATATAAATTCTAGAAAGATCTAGAAAATAAAATTCTACGTGTTATTAGAATTAGGAATTTCATATTAATAATATCTAGAATTCATAAAAAATTAGAAATGTTTGAAAGTAGAAGATAAATAATTCTAGAGTTAAGAAAATCTAGAATTATCTAGAATATTTAGGAGGTGGTGGAACAAATTTATAAATAGACAATGCTACTTATGTAATGGATGTGAAAAACTCATATAAACTCCTAAATATCTTGTAATACTTCCAAGATCAATTACTATTTTCTTTCATACAAACCTTCTCCTATTTGTTAATCTCTTTCTAAAAACTATTTTCTATATAAATATCACTAATAAACATCAAACCATCTTTCCTATCCTTCCTAAAATAATAATAGTGGTACCAGAGCTATGTTTGATCATTTATTGGGCGTAGATACAATCCAACCACCTTCGAAAAGTCCTACTATATTTCATGGGAGAAAATTATGATTTTTGGAGCATTAAAATGAAGGTTTTTCTTTTGCTTTCAAGATTTGTGGGAGATTGTTGAAGATGACTTCTTTACTCCTACAGACGTTTCTACATTAACAACAACTCAGAAGAAAGAGTTGAAAGAGAACAAGCAAAAAGATTCAAGGACATTATACTTTCTACAACAAGCTGTGATTGATGCAATCACTACTATAAAATATACTTTCTACGTCGTCATTTAACGTCGGTTATAGCCGAGACGACGTAGAAAGTACTTTCCACGTCGGTTCCCAGATGAACCGACGTTGAAAGTTGAATATTAAACACATTCTACGTCGGTTCGGTTCCCATATGAACCGACGTGGAAAGCCTTTTTTTTTTCACCCAAAAACTCACTTAAATTTGAAAATTGTCATTAGAAGGATTCAAACCCAGTACTTTAGAGTTGGAGACTGATACTCCAACCACTAAGCTACTAGAATTTTCCGATAATAACTTACAAATAAATTATATTTATATACAAATAAATATATATCCATGTAAATATATATTTATTTGTATATATTTTCTGGAAAGTATTTTTATTTTTATTTTCAACCAAAAATTCTTTTAAGTTAATGAATTGTCACCGATAACATTTGAACCCGAGTATTTTAGGGTTGAAAGTTAATATCCCAACCACTAAACTACTATAATTTTTTGATAATAACTTACAAATAAATTATATTGGTATTTTTCGATCGAGGGTGAACGTGTGATTGACTCTTGCTTGAGTGAAAATATGTTAAAGCTCACGGAAATTCACTTACTCAAGTCTCGCTTGAGCGAAAATTGGTATTTTTCGCTTGAGAGAAAATAACGCATTTCCCAAATTATTTTATATCATTATATAAATAAAATTATAAAGATTATATTTTGTCATTAAATTACAAACTCATATAAAGATACCTGCTGACAAATTTAGCATCAAATTTTGAAAACTCACTCGACACACACTTTCATTTTCGAGTGTGCCCTCACATCCAACATATAAATATATAACTATATAAATATATCAAAATATATAAATATATTTATATTTATATATTTACACGGATATATATTTATTTGTATATAAATATAATTTATTTGTATATAAATATAATTTATTTGTAAGTTATTATCGGAAAATTCTAGTAGTTTAGTGGTTGGAGTATCAGCCTTCAACTCTAAAGTACTTGGGTTCGAATTCCGCCAATGATAATTCTCTTAAAAAATTAATAAACTTCTAAAAAATATAATATAAAGAGATGGAGGACCTAATAAAAATATAATATAAAGAGAAGGGAGACTTCTAGATAAATAAAAGGGGGTAAAGGGGTTGTAAATAAATAAAAATTATTAATTTAAAAAATCATACTTCAACGTCAGTTTATTAGAACCGACGTTGAAAGCTTTATTTGTAGTAGTGAATTTTTCCAAGAATAATGGATGTCACAAGTGCTAAAGAAGCGTGGAACACACTACAGGAGGAGTTTCAAAGAAGTGTAAAGGTACACACCATTAAACTTCAAACTCTAAGACGTGAGTTTGAATTATTGAGTATGAAGGAGTTTGAGACCATTAAAGACTATTATACTAAAATCAAATAGATAATTAGTCAAATGAGAGTATGTTGGGAAAATATTATGGACAAGATAATTGTTGAAAAAAAAAATAATTTCTATTCCCCACAAATATAATGCAATTGTGAAAACTATTGAACAAATCAAGGATCTGTCTACCTTATCGGTGACAAAACTAATAGGTTATCTTAAAGCATATGAGCAAAGATTGAAAAAGTATAATGAAGATTTTGTTGAAAATGCCTTTCAATCAAAGCTTAAATTATGGTCTCAAAATAAAGAAATTGGAGGAAAGAAAATTGAAGAAATTTCTAGAAACAAAGAAAACTCTAGAAATTTCTCCAAGTCTAGTCAAGATAAATTTTCTCCTTGTGGCATTTGCAAAAAGTCAAGTCACTTGGAGAAAGATTGTTGGCATTGTGGAAAATCTTAATGCCAACATTGTAAGAAGTTTGGACATGTGGAGAAAAATTGTCACATAAAAAACAAGAATCAAACAAATTTTGCTTAAAAACATGACCTTCATCAACATCTTTTTTATGCTACCCGAGACTTCAATGATGAAACAAGCAGAAATTGGTATTTCACTACAAGAAAAAACACATTTAGCCACCGAAATTAGCGACCGAATTTTTTCGGTCGCAATTAGCGACCGATTTAATTTTGGTCGCAATTAGCGACCGATTTAGCGACCAAAATATGATTTGGTTTTCACTTTTTTATTTAGCGACCGAAATAGCGACCAATATTTTGCGTCGCAAAATTTCGATCGCTAAATCGATGGCTATTTCATACTAAAATGAAAAAATCATTTAGCGATCGATTTAGCGACCGAATTACAAATTGAAATAGTGACCGAATTAAAATCGATCAGCTAATGAGAAAATAAGCGTACGAATTGAAATCGATCGCTAATGAATATTATTTTTTTATTATATTTAAATTTATTTTTTTATAAATATACTTTAATTGTTTTAGTATATTTTTTACAATTTATTTTTTAAAAGTAATTTATTTTTTAAAAATAATTTAATTTTTAAAATATACTTTAAAAATAAACTTTGGTCTCAATATTAACAAAATGAATTGTAATAAATCAAATTTATTAAAAATTTAAATTGTAATAAATTAAGACTAGAGTGATGTTAACTATTCAATACATTGTTTAAGAAAAGTTTAATAACAAATATTCTTGAATTTATTTTTCAATTGAAAATTTCAATTGAAATTAAATTATATTTTAAAAATTTATATTAAAAAAATTAAACACATCAAATTATCACATTTTAATTCCTCATTAACTTAATTAATTAAAAAAATACAATTTTAATCAAATTATTACAATTTTATTTTATAATACTTTATTTTTAATCTAATTTTTTAATTTATTGCTTTATTATTATTAATTACTTAATCATGGTTGTTGTCATATAATTGATATACAAAAAAAAATTATATCAATATACATTAGATAATAAATATATTATTTAATTAAACTATTGCTAACCAAATTTGTATATTGTAACCCAACAAGTGGAAAAACACTTTCAACACCACTTTCATAACAAACTATTTACAAATTAAACAGCTAACGAACCAATTATTCAACAATAAATTCATGAAAATTGTAGACTAAGATGAACACAGGCAGAAAGATACTGGTCTGTATTTCGCAGGTCAACATTCGCTCAAGCGAAAATAACATCGCTCGAGCGACGCCACCTGCACAAAATTGGCATTCTCGGGTTGTATTTCGCTTGAGCGACACTGGTCTCGCTCGAGCAATATCTGATGCAAAAATGTGTCAATAAATAAATAAAATATTTGTCACTTTTAAGAGCGGTTAATATTTTCACCGCTCTTAAAAGTGAACATATAATAGCGGTTCCAAGTGGAACCGCTATCATATACAACCACATTTTTTTATTAAAATCGATTAAATTTTCAAATAATTGATTATATTCGACAATTTTTTCAAATAATTAATTATAATCGATTAGTTTTCTAAATAATTGATTAGAATTGATTAGTTTTTCAAATAATATATTATAATTGATTAATTTCTCAAATATATATTAAAAAATTATAAATAAAAATATAAATGATTTAAGAATATTAATTATTGTAAATATAAAGTAGAACATGGGAGGAGATGAGGATGATAATATAATGATGGAATTGACAAAAATGCAGAATTGAGAAGCTAAAAAAAGAAAAATTTAAGAAAATAGAGATTTAATTATACTTTTAATAAATTTAACATAATAATAGTTTTGATTTTTATTTTTAAATATTTATTTTAATTTTTTAAAACAGAGAAACTGTAATTTTAGTTTCTAAATACAAAATTTAAAGAATTAAATTTATTATTATTTATTCTTTTAATTTTAGTATTAAAAATTTAAATTATATTTTATTAAATTAAAATAATTACAATATATTTTTCTACTTTGAGAATGAAAAATATAATTAAACTAAAACTGAAAATATTATAATACATTTTTGAACTCTTTTTGATTAATTTTTTTTTCCTAATTTTTTATAAAGTCAATTTTAATATTTAAAAGTATTTAACATTTTGCTTTC